ACAAAAAGACAAATTAATACCCTGAACCTCTTAAAAATATTTTTCTGCTTGGAGCAGACAGATCAGTTTGTCTAAAGAATACCAATGAAATCTTTACAGCGATAAACAAAACACTCTACCACTTTACTGAGAAGCAAGCTTCTGCCGAAAAGCAGTAAAACTCCCATGGAATGAGTGCAGATATGCCCCAAACTTAAAAAATTCTGTCCAGACTAAGTTCTGTCAATATCCCTAATGTTCCTCTTTTTGTATCACAGGATTAACAATAAGGAACAAAGGCTCATTTTATCCTTTATTGCAGCTAATTATTGTACCTCTTTACTGTTGACCCTGGCCCAATCTTCCTCTCTGCAATTGCTCCATGGAGAGATGGAAACTTTAATGCAGTAATTTCTAACTAGCAAGATTTTTTGTTAATTCAGAAACTCAATTATCACATATCTCCAGGATGGAGCATTAAGTCATGGTCTGTGGGGCTGGTTGAGCTTTCTGTCCCCTGGATGGTTTTGATCTTTCATCTTCTTCATTTTGTAATTTTCAAACTAGATATTTTTTAAACAGAAATGAAGCAATTACTTATTAAATAAAGAGTAGTTCTTTATAGCTGCATGTTAGTTATGTGACGCACAAAGTGCCTCTGCTAATTAATTTGCACTCGTGCAACTCAGTAGATCATAACTGAATATTTGTGTTCTAAAGAGATTACAAGCAATTGAGCAAAGAAGCTCTGGGATATTTATTCTAGGAGTTCACATCTGTTCCCTTTAGTAAGTGGCATTAGACAGAAGAAAGTTGTAATAAAATCAGAGATAAGCTCTTCACACTGATCACCTATGGAAACTGGTTAATTTAAGCTGAGCATATATACAGAGTTCATTAAATACCTGTACATTGTCAGATTTGTGACCTGGAAACCCAATCTGATAACCCACGTCCATAAGTCCTTGCTTCAGTGAGAAAAACCGTTAGACTTGCTGAACAAAGAGAAGCTACAGTATCACCTCCTTGCAAAAACAGAGCAATTTATTAAACGCAGCACTACTTAGGAGTGACTCACGAAAGCATCAGTCTTGCTGTGGAAGCGCCACTACTTTGCACAGCTCCCTCAGCTTGTGGCCACCCTGGAGCCTGGCCATCCCAAATACAACGGAGCTTGGGCTGGGGAACAGATCTAGGGCCCAGCGACTCTGAACCCCTGAGGTAGCCTCTGTTGCTTGTTATAGCAGGGATATAAACCTCTCTCCCTAGGTCTTGTCTCGGTTCAAAGGAATTTTCCCCAAGGCCAGAGAGAGTGTGAGGAGCAGAAGGCTGAATTCCCAAACCAAGAGTCTGAACTATGACACCTCCTCTCCAGACTGGCTCTGTGCCGCTCAACTCAGGCCTTTCCAGGTCTGCAACTACACAAAGTATTTTCAAGCTTTAACAATGATTATTTTTTCCCAGAAGGACAGAAAGAGGAATTGTAACTACGACAGTGCCCAATTACAGGAAAGAAGAGTTTCATGCTGTGCTCTAAGCTAGAGTAAAGGAAAGTAACAGCTGATGAAAGAATCAAAAGATGTTAAACTTGCTGGGGATGAAATGCCTGGTAGGAGAAAACAGCAAGAGCTCCTCGATAACCAGTCAGGCACTTTCTTCCATTACTTTAATGGAAGTTTGCTCAAGTCTCCATGCAATGACAGAACTGGGTGGGGAGCTGCTTTTAGAAACAACATGTAATTTGATTTCAAAGGAAGAGGCTGAGAATACTCCCTAAAGCTGTGGTTAGTGATCACATGCACCAATTTGCATAAACCTATATAAAGAGAGCAGACAGGACGGGAGTTTGAGGAGAGCAGCCTAAGTGGCCTTTTTAAAGGCCAGACTCCAGCTGAAGACATCAGGAGTGGCGGAACCACTGATGACCGTGAGAGGACCTGAACAGCAGTAGCTGGCCAGTGCCACCAAACAGGGCCTCGCTCTCCCCCTCCGCCTCAGTCAGGATGCCAGCTGGGACCATCACTAGACCTGAGGCGCAGGAGACCCCTCCTCTGGGGGGCCTGTAAGTGTGGGTATACCAACTGTGAGGGTGTGGGTTTAAAGCCCCCTTCTTGTAAAAATCTGAGATCAGTATGGCCTTAGTGAGGTTTGGCTCATCCATGCCTGCTGGGTGGCATGCCGTGCAGGCGTGTCCCAATAGACTGTGCTATTCTTTCCTACAGGCTCTCTGTCTCTTCCTTTCTGGGGTATGCGTATCTTACTTTTGAGTTAGCTAATATAACAATAAAAACACTGTATATATGGTATATAAATAAGTTATTGTGAATAAGTTCTTAACTCTTGTTGCCACTTATTGTTTATTTGGAGAATCTCTGTAAACCCATCCACTCAGTAAAAGCTCCCATCAGCACCCATGAACCTGCTGGTTGTTGGCAGTTAATAACGCTGTTCAGCATGCCTTTTGCTTGGCTCAGACATGCTTCTTCATTGAATTGCAACAAGAGGTTATATATCTCCTAGCTCTCATATGCTTCTCAGCAGCATGTGGCATGTCATATTAAATTTCCAGTCTCCATTTAAACTTCTCCAAATGAATGATAAAGCTCTGGAAAAACTTGTTAGAATGTCTTTTTTTTTTTTTTTTTTTTTTTTTTCCATCACCCTCCCTAGCAGCCTAACCAAATAAGCCACCTGTTCTGCCCATAAAGTCTAGTTCTGGAAAGCTCAGGTTTAATTATATCAGGGTATGAAAGGCCTGTGAAGGGAGTACAGCATGTGTCATACTGTACTCTGATACAGTACAGATCCTATAACCACCTTCTTGTAATAAAAGGAACACACAGAATTCAACATTTCTTCTTACATTAGAATCACCCCCTCCTACAGTCATATTACTGCTGTCAGAGACATCTCGATTCTCCACAAGGAAGGAGCCACGCAAAAAAAAGAAAAAAACCCCACCCTAGCATTTCCATTAAAAATAGCCTTTTACTCCATCCCTATTTATAAAGGTTTGTTTTCCCCCAAAATGTAGGATTATTTTAATTTTCATTTAATTGCACGTCCATAAAATCCAAGGCTGCCAAACAAACAAATCATAGTTACTGAAGAGCAGAAGGAGCTTTCCCTCTGGGAGTTCCCAGTGCTGGGAGAAGGCCACTTGGAGAAGTAAACACTGGAAACACACCCAGGAATAAGAAGTGACTTCAAAAGATTTCTGTTCTGAAAATGCCTTGCTTTATAAAAGTTCAAGCAAAACAGCAGACTGCTGATAGGGTTGAATGCTATTTTACCCCAAGACACACACTCTGTGTGTGTATGACGCTACTGCATGCTTCTATCCAGATAGCCTTTGAACATCCATTTATATAATAAAAAGTATGTCAAGGAATTTGGAGGCAGCAGGGATTGAAAAGACCAAGAAAGGAGGGAATGAAAAGATCAAGGTTGTGCCAAGATTAAATCAACTTATGTCTTACGCTAGGGTGGGGATGGGAAGAAAATTCAGGAGTCTGAGTTTTAATTAAGGTTACTTTTAAAAACAAGAATAAAGCAACAGACAAAATGGAAAAGTGGTGTGGACTAGTGGGTTCCTAAGCAGGAGGTATAATGATGTGAGTGATGCTGTGCTATGATCTTATGACCAGATTAATACTGATAGAAGAGATCAATCTGCAAGTGAGATGTGACTGGGCGTGCAGGTAATGGCAGGAATGGATTAGTGTTGAGAAAGGACAAGAGCTCCTTGATTCCTTCCCAGAGCATGAAATTCCCCTGTCTTCAGTGAGCTAAGTGCAGATAATCTGTATTTGGGCAAAGGTGTTTCATTCTCTCCCACTCTGGACTGTCCTCCTACCAGGCTATGCAGTAAAACCGAATCATCTGAAGGGCAAGAAACCCCGAAATCCTTTCATTCCTCCGTGTCTTCATTATGAAGATCTTTGCAAATGAAACACACAATGACAGGACATGGGGAAGAGTTCGCTAGAATGATTGCTAACGCTAATGAGAAAAACATCTTTCGCTGGAGAAGCATTAAGGTGTGCCTTCCCCAAAAAGGGCAGTGGAAAAGCAAGGAACACCAGGCGATATTTTCCCAAGCAGCTTTGGAAACCTTAAAGACATATGAGTTTGATGAGGCCTAGGGCTCAATCTGGGTCTTTTTAAAGAATCTAAACAGAGCGCTCAAATGAGCTCTTTAGAAGATTTATGTCCCCTTACTGCTTCCTTCAAAAGATACAGCTGACGTGTGCTGCCTTGACTGTCAGCTTTGGCAGTTCTCGGTTAAGAACATGATATAATCATCAGTATATTTATCAGCAGGGACAAAAGACTAAAATGTATTTGAATAAGGGAAAATGGGGATGGAGACCTACGATCGATTTTATAAATAACAAGTGGCAAGTTGCACAGTGACAAAGCGGGGGCTGGAATGCATTTTTCCAGAGTTTGTAAAGACTCATTTAATTTCTATAGAAACTGAACAGCAAACAGGTAATTTTCTCTGAAAATTACTTCTACCACCTCAGTAATGCTCTCCAAGAGGAATATATTTCTCTTGTGTCTTCTTAATCCTCTGTTATTTTCATTATAAATTTAATTAAGCTCTTCTAGAGAACGCTCTATGACATACAAGCTGAATTTTGTCTTTGTCAGAGTGATGATGGAAATGAGCTGCTGAATTGTGTGGCAATTATTTTTTTTTCTTCTGTGTAAATATTTCCCATGATATTAAGCAGTGGAGGCATTCATTTTCCCCAGCTGAATCAATACAGCTACAGTTGAGAGAAAGATGTACATAAAAGGCTCACGTGTCTGAAGTACGCTGTCCAGCCAGTCCTCTCTCCTCTACTGGATAATGCCCACAGCTGCCATTTTATAGAACATCTCAAGAACAGATTCTCTCTGAACAAATTGGGCATGTGAAAGCAGCTTTAGTACCAGAGCTTCAAATGGAGAAATCTGCACAGCAGCAGTGAATCGAAGAGAAAGAAGGAAAAAAAGAAAAACAAAAACCTTACTCTTTGTTCTGAAATGGGCATTTGAGGATCCTCCCTAGATTAGAGCACAGCTGAACACCGCTTCCTTGTGATGGTTTTTTCTTTCTGATGGCCATAACTGCAAGATATTATTATTCCAGGGAGAACTCCTCTGACTATCCTCTTTGTTTTACTCAGGACTGGTTACCAAGCAACCCATACTGTATAATCAGTTTTACAACGGGACTGAAACTTGAATGGTGAACTTCTTTGTTTTGTTTTTATCTTTGCAAATTTCCAAGAGAAAGCTTATTTTGTTTTAATTCCCTGTTTTTTGGCTTCCTGTTTGTTTCATATAAGTGGCTGACAGTATTGTATTGGGTAAAATTAATCAGATCATGAGATAACCATTGTCCTGAGTTATACAAGCTATGGCTGAAGACATATATTGTTGCTATTAACACTTATGTTGCCATGTAAAGGTCCTCAAAACAGGATCTAGGCTGTCTTGTGTGAAAAACAAATCCATGCCTGCCCCCAAATTTTCCATCTAAACAAAGTGAGGGTTGAGAACATCTGCCATTATTCCTATCTGACAAGCAGCTGGTAGAGTCACTGACACAGTAAAGCTAGAAGTTTTGCAAAAGCTTGGGCCTCACAGCTGAGTCCTGATTTCTGAAGACCTATATGATCTGCTGTCTGTTTTTCACTTGCAGAGCTTTCACAGCTGGACATAAATATCAAGCATAAAACCCAAGGTGACACAATCATTACTGAATAATTAACACTTGAATACCTGTCCTCACTTAGCACGTATGGGAGAATCTGGTATCTTAAAGCTTTCCGTTTAGCGTGTTGAAAACAGACTGGTATTGGAACATCACTGTTCCCAAGAAGACGACGAAGTATGCAAAAAAGATCACGTGACACTATCCGACATCAAGGTTAAGTATATAAAAAAAGTACTTATATTAAAAAAGAAAAAAATAAGTTCTTCAGTCTTCCACAGCACATTAGCATGTTCCCTAGGTGCTTTTCTATTATTTCTCTCACCCATCACAAATACCATCACCTATAGGAATACACAGAGACCAGCAAAGAAGTGAACACAGGGAGGAAGGTGTGGGGCAGTAAAGGAAAATGGAAGTAAAGCTTTTACTGTGACTGATGGACACGGATCACTGTTATTTACACAACACTTTGCAAGGACATCTGCTCTTCGCTGTTGTCTGTTTTTCCCTGCTTTACCAATAAAACCAGGATGCATCAGTGTCCCCATTCAAGTCTCATGGCAGCAGGCCTTTTGGCCTAAAGCAGATTGAGATTCTTTCCAAAGGGCAATAGACCCAACTATGTCAGCCCTGAATCTGACCCTGGCCCTTACACAAAGGCATAAATGCTGTTACTTTTCACTGTGCCTCCATATAGCCCAGCCTGCTGATGAACACAACGGTGAAGCTTTTAATTCCTGTGCCTCTACAGCTCAGAGAAAGCGCCAATTGTGATCAGCACAGAAACGCTGGGGAAACCTGCACTGTGAACAGCTGTCCTAAGTCAGTCCTTCCTGCCTCACTTTTTTCATCTGCTATTTGGAGATTAAAGGGAGTAAAATGAATACTAGAGGAGCCTGTCACAAATTTGGGCCCTTGAGAAGACAGATGAACAAAAACCCACCCTGGCCTTACTTCCATTACTTACGAGGTTTGGGGGTTTATTGTTGCCAATTTTTAGATTTTGTTTTGTTTTCAGGCCACTACAGGGAGACTGATCTTCCTGCTGCCTTCAAATCTATCATTTTGCAGAATTTCAAGCATCACTGCTAAAAAAAACAGCTTCAAAGTGATAAAAGAGTAAAAATGTCACACCAAGGGAGAGCTATCTATCTGTGCCTCACAGTTCTTTAATGTTATGCCTCTGACAGCTTAACAACAGCTAAACAGCTTAAGTCTCAGCAAGAGACCTCCAAGCTGTTTGAGTATGAAAAGTATGACATGTTAATTAGAGAAACTTCCCATTTGCTACAAACAGCCCTCTGTTTGCGACCAGCCATAAGGAGCACTGCTTCTGTAGGGAGGTGCACGACACCAGCAACAGCTGCGTGGGTCTGAGTCCTGCTCTGCATACGGGAACCCCTGATGCCCCTGTGGTCAGCGCAGCTAGTGTTAACTGGGCCTGTCCCCAGAGAAAGCACCTTGCCTCCTGCCAGGCAGGAGTCACTGCCAGTAGCCAAAAAATTAGGATAATTTTAATCTCTCAGACAAAGATAAGGCAAAACAGCCCTCACACACTAACTTTTCCAGAAGCTGCTTCCTTCCCTGTCTCTCCCCCACACCCAGGTCTGTGGCTTCTCCTGCC